ATCTCCTCCTCCATCTCGGCAGCGGCAGAAGCCTTCCCCGCGCTGCGGCTGCGAGCTGTGCGCTGGCTCCTGTTCCCTCGTGCAGCTGGCAGAGTTAAGCCTGTGAATTCACGGCCTCGACGCCGGTGAATTCAACGCCCTTCTGGCTGACCGCCGCCACGCGCAGCTATAACCTCCGTATTGCTGTGAGTAATTAGCTAGTGCGTGCTAATTATGGCTGTGCTTCGACACCTCGGTGAGCCCGGGATTACACAGGGGAAGGCTGCAAGCAGTTCCCTCGTGCAGCTGGCAGAGTTAAGCCTGTGAATTCACGGCCTCGACGCCGGTGAATTCAACGCCCTTCTGGCTGACCGCCGCCACGCGCAGCTATAACCTCCGTATTGCTGTGAGTAATTAGCTAGTGCGTGCTAATTATGGCTGTGCTTCGACACCTCGGTGAGCCCGGGATTACACAGGGGAAGGCTGCAAGCAGCATGCGCTTCAGAGCAAGTTTCTTCCGAGCGAACACGAACACTCTGGCGAAGTCCTGGAGCTGGGGAAGTACGCGGTTTCCCTGCAGAAGCCCAGGAGGTGTCTATCCAGATAGCAGATCAGCCGACCGGGATAACCGCTCCGCTTCCCGACGGATCGGCACCTTCCGGGGAGGCTGCGTGCGGCAAACCCGCGGTGCCTTCACGCAGGGTAGCAGGCGGCCATGAGGAAGATGGGAACTCAGCAAATCACACCAGCGACTGCCAAGTTAAATCTTTACTAATAGCCTACACCACGTGCATCAGAAGGTGCAAGGACCCCAACGAAAACCCAGGAACAGCTCATCTACAAATGAAATCCTTCTAGTCCCCCCACCCCCCCGAACTCCCTCCTGCTGGGAGCCCTGATGGTTTGTGCTCTCACGCTGCGATGGGTGCGTGGGTGTCATACCCGTTGTATCAGTGCAGATGAGATGCTTCAATAGCCCTAGAAACCATTAGGCTCTAGTTAAATTGAACCAAATTTAGTTTAACTTACCTGTCCAACATACAGTTTTCACATTCGTGAGTCCTACCAGTTCTGCCAAGATTTAAGGGACATTTACTCCTTGTAAAACAATTCTTACTGAAGTTGAGACATATTGAGACCAACATATTTCTATTTATGTATTTCTGACACTTTTTTTTTTTTTGGGGGGGGTTGGGAGTGTGTATAAAGTTCCACATAAACTGCGAAGGCATGGGTGGAATGCTTACTTTTCAGTCATTTAATATTGTGATGAATACCAGCTTTCCAACCCATAACTCTCATTAGAACAAAAGCTACACTTAACAGATTTGCATTTACTGCCATCAGGAATGAAATAATCATTCAAGAGCACTTGTATATTTAATTGTCTTCAGAAGGCTGCATTACAACTGGGGGGATGACATGTTAATGTATTAGTAAACTACGCAGGGAGTTGTGCAAAATTAATTTCTGTCCTACAGCAAGAATGAACAGGATTATCTTATTGCATGAGAGATTCCAGAGGCTTTATCTTCTCCTGAGCACAGAGTCTCCCTTAAGATTAATCAGTCACAAATGCACATTCCAAAGGAGAACACAAATCATACAAAATCTTCTTATCGAGTTAATGAATGACTCGTCTCCCTCCTGTCCCTTCCTCCTGCACGAGAAGGCAGCCCGAGGCAAATGCTCCATGAACCTAGAGGTGATGAATTCAGCGCTCAGGAGGCAAGGTCAGTGGCAAAGTTCCTCTCGGCTCCGCAAGCAGCTGCTGCGAGAAGTCCATCAGCAGGGCTGACGGAGGGTCTGCAGGATGGAGCGACACCGTGTAGGGGCTCTCCAACGCTCCACGTGTAGGACAAGGAAGCAACAAGTTTAAAACAGAGCAAGCGTTGCTGAGGGAAGGTGTTCCCACTGATGCTGGGTTTCGTTACCGCAGATGTACATACATTTCTTTACAGCCCAAAGCTCTGAATTTTGGAACCACGCTGCTCCAACGGCTTTGTCACTAGGTGGTGTCTTTTTTTTTCTTCCAGCTCCCCTGTCCAAAGAGTAGCTTAGTGACAGCAAATTCAAGCCTGGGGCCAAAGGGAAAGAATCAGATTTACTCTTTCTCCCCTAAAAACCTGATTTTTAAGTGTAGCTCAAGCTTAGTGCTGGGTGGAAGCCCAGGACAAGACACTGAAGATGTGCTGGGGTGTTTTCAAAGCGCAGAGGACAGAGCCTGGAATGATAGTGCTGGAGACTCACTGTCTGCAATTAGTGACAGAACAGGCTAATTGGTCTCCATATAGTGGCTCTGACAGCAGGACTCGCGCCAGTTTGGTGCGACCGATTAAGGGATGCCGCGGGAATTCAGTGGTTGTGATCCAGGCAGCACTGCACTGGTGTTGGGAGGTGTGGAGCTGAGTGGGAAACAAAAAGAACTGCTCTAGATGGTCTTGCTGTCTGGCTTTTCTTGGCTCACTGCTGCTCCTCGGAGCTCCGGAGTAGAGTAACCTGCTGGGGAAGCAAATTCCCAAGTTTTTGAGTTTCCCGCTCCCCCAGCCCGATACCAAATCCCAAGGGCAATGACCTGGGGGAACGGAACCCTTCGAAGCCCAGCTGGGATCTGTATGGCATTGCAGCAGACGGATTTGACACCAGTGCCAGAGGGAGAGGGGAACAGTGTTAAGGAGGCTGAAGCAGTCAGCGGGCAGGCAGCGAGCAAACGTCCCTGCCAGAGCACCCCGACAGCGCTCAGCAGCCCGCGCCTGGCACGGCCCTGTCGTTCTGTTTCTCAGCGTTCACCGACCAAGCTCTCCCGTAAACCAAAGACCAGCTGGGAACACTAAACTGCCCTTGCACTTTATCAAAGGCAGGATGTCTTTCGTCAAGCGTCTCCGTGCCCTGGCCAAAGGCCAACCTCTTGTCTTCCTCTTCTCAGAAATCCTGGTGGCTTTGACCCAATCTCCTCTGCATCCTGTACGTTTTTGTATTGTGTTGTTCTTCTTTCTCGCAACGCTTTTTCCTTCCATCCCCGAGATGCTACACTTTTGGGATGCCTAATTTGAGCTACCTGCTGAGTACGCTGGATGAGTTGGAGGAAAGCTGCTCTCAGTTTCAGCAGTAATGGATCTGGCCGTTTGTGATCTTTCTCTGGTGCCGGTGCCCAGAAGGAAAGGCCAGGCCAGTAAACAGCCAAGTCCTGAACGTGCTTGTAAGCTGCAAAAATAAAACTGTATCGACATTTAATAAATAGAGAACAGGCAGTAAGCAAGCAATAGTGAGGATTCATCTCTTTGCCTTTTGTTTGTTATTTGTCAGGCATATTTATGTAAAAGAGGGTATAGATTTGGGATCTATTAGTCGGATTGGCTGTTCCATCCAGCCAAGCCAAACCTTCAAGCTTTGGGAGAACTTGGCTGAGGACAGCCTTTAGGCTTGACCACCAGGACACCTCAACGGACCGTTCAGGCTGGGAGATGATCTGTGAGCTCTCTGGTTTCCTCCCCTGACCCCTCCTTTTTGTCCAAGTCTTTGTCCACGCGAGATTCCTTGCTCTGCGGGGAATTGGTTCACTCCAGAATCTGTCATGCTCTCTGTCTGTGCTTGTATCCTTGGGCCTCTGTACCTGGCAAGAACACAAAAGGTACAATGTCAGCTTTATCCACCCCTTCTCCAGGTTTGACTGAGTCAAGAGATCTCAGCCCTGTGGTCATCTCCACTATCGCTCTTGCTGGGAAGAAGGCTGTGCTTCTGCACTGCCACACAGCTGCTTTTTAGCTCTTCCTGCACTTCAGCCTGTCAAGAATCCCGTTGTGTTTCATGACAGTAAGTGGGTTTTGGGTAGTGAAAGGAGGAGAGCAGACGTGTTGTGCCTTAGTAGCTGCGTTTAATAGTTGGGTTGTGCCTGCCACGTTGAAAAGCAAAGGGTAGCCAAGATTTCAAAATGACTTTTAAACAGCTCTTCCAATGCCCATGCCAGCTTTTAGTTCCCGGACTGTCCCCACCCTACGCTTTTTCTCCTGCCTGCAAACACAACGCCACAAGGAGGAGCATTGCTCTTAAAAATGGGGGGAAAAGCCAGTTTTGGACAGTATGTCTTGGGCTGGTAGCTGCGATGAAGCCCAGTTGGCAAGCTAGCTGATGAGCACCGAGTATTTCGGCCGTGAGGGCTCCTCTGGGCTGGATCTCCAGCACCTCAGTGCCCTTCAGGACACTCTCCCCTGGCTGAAGTCCCCAGGATGCTGCTGTGCACCCCAGCTCACCTGGCTGCATGTGCACCATGCGGCACAGCCCCTTGCCCGCCTGGTTCTTGTACATGGGCTTCACACACACTTTGTTGGTGGTGCCCGCAGCCAGGTCGGTGAGGAGCACGCTGTGGATCTGCGGCGAAACGCTGAGGACGGACGAAGGGCCAGTTTGCCGCCGGCATCGGACTCTGTAACCGAGGACTTTCCCATCGGCGGAGTCCCAGGAGGCCTTCAGGGTGTTGGGGCCCATGTCTTCAAAGCGAAGGTGCCTCACTTTGGAGCCCTCTAAAGAAAGAAGAGTTGTGTTACTGCGGGCCATTTGTACGGAGTGGGCCTTACCTAGCTCCTTGTTCCTCCCGAGGGGATTGCCGAGAGGGGGCTGCCAGCCAGCCCGGTCGCCCTCTCTTGCAGAGACACAATAGCCTGTCACTCTACATCTCCGCCCTGGAGGAGCTCAGCCTAATTAGTCCTTAACTTTGTCCTGGTACCAGTGCAAAATACTTTTGTTGACGCTGTTAGGCACTGGCTTGCCAGCTCCCACACCCCCAGCTGCCGTCATTCTCCGAGCTCCTCACCCCTGAGTCCTGCTAACAGCTAGACTTTGTCTCCTGCAGTGTCTTTTACAGGTCCTTCTTCAGAGCAGAAGCTTCTGCTGATGAAATTGCCACTTCTCACCTTCCCACTGAGGAGACAGGGGGGAAAGGCAGTTTTCTTTCTTCTTTAGGGAGATTCAGGAATCTCCAAGTCCGTTCTGCCTGTGACTGCACCAGCAGCTTGGCGGTGCACTCCACGTGACAGCAGTCATAGTGTGTGCACCCCATTTTCTTTCAGTCCTATGCCTTACACTTCTGCTACATCCTAATGGCATATCACGTCCTGCGCATCAGAAGCTGCAGCCTTCCCCTTCTCCCATCCCTCCCCAGTACTCCAGTAACTGGGCTGGGTTCTCTGGCCTCGCCTAGAGGCAGATAACCCATGCAAAGAAGCACCCACACCTCTGAGACTCCTTGTGCCCTACAGTTTGCCGTCAGCAGAACGCCGCTCGCTCACCTTCCTGAGTGCACGCTTTAGCTGACAGGGATTTCTCCTTGCCCGACCTGTAGACTGCAGTCACCGTCACCAAGTAGGTTGTGTTGGGTGCCAGATTCTCCACCACAGTGCTGTTGTGCTTGCCGTCCACCTCCAGCAGCTTCACCGAGTTCCCAGGGAGCGGGCCGTACAGGATCTGGTAGCCGACCACGCTGTCCAGCATAGGAGCCCAACTAACGTGGAAGCTGTGTGGCCCAGACTCCGAGATGAGAACCTGAACTGGGCTTATTTCCTCTGAAAGCAATGTAAAAAAAAACCACAAATGAGTGTGTAATTCAAGGCTGTCAGAGGAGCATAACTGACCTGCACCGTATCTGGCTTCCAGGAGGTGGAAGAAAATCCATCCAGCAAGTGGATGTTGATAGTTATCCAAGTCAGCACGGCCCAGCTCAGCCCTAAGAAAATGGTTTCTCTACCCGTGCAGCCTGGAGTAGGCAAAACTACTCAGCCAAAACTGTTCTTACCTGCAGAAAATTAATACTAGATACAAATTCATCTTGACTTTGTCATGCCTGCTCAGATTTTCGGTGTGCCACTTTTTTGCATGTTGCTATCCAGCATGAATCCGAGTTGTTCTTCTGGCTGAAATGCCTAAGTCTGCACAGAGGGGCTGGCTGCTGCTCCCAGTGCTCCCCTGCTCCGAGTGCTCCCCTTCTCCGAGTGCTCCCCTTCTCCTCCCTCTTACCCCGTGAGTCCCCAGCAGTGGATACACCTGCCCCGAGCAGCAGCGCGTACCTGCATCAAAACTGTGATTCTCCCCTCACTGCACCCGCAGCCTTGGGTAGCAGACAGGGATCTCCTTATTCCCGTAGCAGCTCCTGAAGCTACAAAGGTCAAAATCCCCCTTTGGCAGTAACCCACAGCAGGCAGCGCTGCTTCTGCCTGACCATCACGCTGGGATGGCGAGCAAGGACAGGCAGCAGCCTGTGCTTGATCCCCAGCGGGCTCTACACCTCTGTTAAGTATTTGTTAAATACTTAACAAATAAGTAAATAAAGGCTACAGCTCCTGCTGCCTTCTCCCAGGGCAGCAGGCTCTGCTTTCCTCCAGATTCATAGGTTTGTAATGTTGGAAGGGTGTCTTACGACGACCAGACCTGATTCCTTGCTCTGGACAGTCCAGAACATCTCTCTAAGGAAAGATCTGCCAGCTGAGTGCCAGCATCAAGAAGCCATCTCCTCATTATATTCTGTCCTGACCACAGCCATCTGCAGCCTCCCATCAGACCATGAGGCTATGGGATGGATGCAGACCAAGGGCTGTCCTGGTTGCTTTATATACGTGAGGCTCAGCAGAGCAGAGAATTCCCCCTTGGTCACAACTGTGCACATTTACCTGCCAGTGTAGTAACCCTTGTCGCCTGGGGAGGGAAGTAGTGGACGTTGGATTCAGGAATGAGTGCCACCTCGTAAGTGGTTTCTGGTGCAAGGTCGCTTAGCACGAGGCTACTGTGATCCCCAGACACTTGCTTTGTCCTCTTCCTTGCTAGATCATCCGTCGGGGCATACTCTAGGGTGTAGTAGCCAGTTTCTTGGGAGAGGAGTTTGGGCCACATCAGGCGGAAGCTGCTTGAGGTGATATCTACTGCATGGAGCCGGTTTGCTTGGATAACATCTGGAAGAGAAACAGTAGCAAGAAATCACTGCTGACCTGAAGACACAGCGCATGGTACATCTGAAACAGAGGCCCTTCTGGAGGGGAGATGTAGCCTACAGCAACGCTGGATGATGGCTGAAGTCACCTACGTTCAGCCGAGCCCCTTCACAGCAGTTCAGGGAACCAGACCCTCTTTGAGAGGTTCAGGAACCCAAACCTGAACCCTTGAAGTCCACGTTTCAACTGAAGCAGCCATGTTTGGGTTTTCACACCACTCGTACCTCTCAGACAAGACCCTTTCACCGAACAGAGCTCACAAAGGAGATGCCCATGTCCCAGCTGCCGTGAGGTGGCATTTTGGCTAAAGCAGGTGCTCAGGCAGGCTTCCGCCCTCAGATACTACTGTGCCCGGCCTCCTAGGCATCTCCAGCCTCCAGCCAGCTTGTCAAGAGCCTCCAGGTTGCTCTACAAAGCTCCAGCTTCCCCTCTCCATTCTCTCTACCTTGTCCTCTGCGCCAAGGCCAAACGGTGACCAGTTAGTCATGAGCCTCCAGGTTGCTCTGCAAAGCTCCATCTTCCCCTCTCCATTCTCTCTGCCTTGTCCTCTGCGCCAAGGCCAAACGGTGCTGTGATCTGTTGTGACAGCAAGGTCCGGCACAGCAGGAACCATGCCCCTGCCCAAGCCTGCCTTGTGCCACCAGGGATTAACCTGGAGTGGTCCAGCAAGTTCTGGGTGGCTGCTCCTGCCCGACAGATGTGTGGGAGCTACTGTGCCTGGCCAAACAGGCAGCTTTCCATGCTCAGCGAGACATCACCACGTACCCAACATGGCAAGCAGCACTGGCACTGCCTGGGACAAAGCTGGAGACACAATTTGGGCATCCAGGTTCCGAAACTCCTGCGGCCAGCTCATCCCGAGCTCCCTGTGGGAATCGCCTACCAGTGAAACCAAACCACTGCATTCTGTCGTGCCCGTGAAGCGGCCGATGGCGCACTCCCTGCTCTGTTTCACAGAGCTCCACTGTGTTGTGGCATTCAGCGTTCAGAGTCGCTCTTGTGCTATCTTGCCTCTCTCCCCCCCTGCGCAGAGGCTTCTCCTCAAGGCTCATGCCACCTTTGAATCCCAGACCCCAAAAGCCAGACACGAATACCTCTTCTGACGCTCCGCAGCTACCCCAGCTTCCTCTGCTACTTGACCCTTCCGACACGCGTGGTCGCTGAGCCCATCTTGGGCAGAATTCCACTGTTCTCTGGTCTTCCAGAGGGGCAGAAACACACAGGACTTTGTTTCCAGCTCCAGCGAAGTGGCATACAAAGACATAAAGATGCTCTTTTTTTTTTTTCTCCTTTAAAAGGATTTTTAAAAGCACCCTGAGCCTTAAAGAAGTGCATTTTCTCTGCACAGTATGACTCCTGAAACATGATGATAGCACCCTCCAGCTCAAGATTAAATACTTCAGAGTACTGTAAGTAGCTCTCGCTGGCTGCCCATTACAGAGAGGTAAAGGGAGGCACAAAAGTCTGCCCAGACCTGCGAGGGAATGGGGAGTAGCCGAACGCTCTCAGACTTGTCCTTTAACGGGGAGAAGACCAGCTCTCCTCCTCCGAGCCGCTCTGAGCCCCTGCCAACTCTGCCATACCAAATAAAGCAGTCTCAGTTTTTCCTCTGAGCTGTTCCTTGGCTCTCCCGGGTGGGCAGGGACGTTTCCCGTCCCCACGTCCTGCCCACTCGGAGCGGGCAGGGGGTGGGAGGCAGCATCAGGGCTCTGCACCCTTCTGTGAGCCCCGCAACCACCAGTGGCCAAGCCACAAAGGAACAGGGAACGGGGGAAAGGCTTCAGTGCCAAAACCCCTGCCAAAAAGCTCAGGGAATGGAAAGAAGGGAGCTTGGAGGCAGGGGGCCAGGGACACTGTGAATAAATGGGGCAGATTAAAGCGTCGGGGTGCAACACCTGAGGAGCATGCTGCAGAAAGCCCACAGCAAACGGTTCTGTCCCTCGCTGCCAGATTACTGATGCCTTGAGGATATGAAGAAGGCAATAAGCCCCAGAAAATAGATGCCCATGGTATGCTTCACAGCCCCTCCTTGTTCCCAGGGGGAAGCCACAAGTTAATCTGTTCTATTAGACCCAGGCAGTGCCTTCCTAGGGACACTCGGAGACAGCTTGTGACACATTTGCCTTCCACCTCCTGCCTCTTCGCGACTTCAAACACTGCTTTGCAGCCACAAGTTTGCTGGCATCCCATGAACGCTGGCAAGGTCAAGATCAGAGTCGCAGAAAAGCTGCTGCTCTCATGATGTGTGTAAGGAACGCAGCCAGGCAGCAGATGAGCCTGCCCTAGCCCTGGGTGCATGATCCCCTCTCTGCAGAAGCTTCAGCTAGGACTTGGGACAAATCACTTCTGCTTCGTGGCTCTATTTCCCTACTTTCATGTGGCTGGGAGGAGGATCCTGATTCTAGGAGGGGCAACACTCTTTGGCATTATCAGGGTGGACATTCAAGGTCCAGAATTGCTCCCTCTGGTCACCCACTTGTATTCAGTGCTAAGTGGGAACGTCAGAGAACTCTAGGCTCGAAGCCTTCATTGCAGCAGGAGCCATCCAGGACCTTGTTTCAGATCAGGAATGCATTGCCCTGACTATAGCTGGGAAGTGGCTGATGTCTTGTGACTGCTGGGCAGGTGGGCTCCTGCAGAACTTGGCTCAGAAGACGGTGCCAAAGGATGAAACAAGTCAGCAGTTGTCAGTTCAACTGGCTGAGTGGAGAGCAAGTGGATGCTAGCACAGAACCTGATGTCATCTCAAAAGAACGCCTTGGTTTCACAATATTTGAAGGTCCTTCCCCAGAAGGAGAGCACCAAAAGCCATATATTGAGTACATAATATACAAGATGCACTGGAAGAAGCCTGAGCTCGAGTGCCTTGTCCTTCACACCAGGAAAGACAGAGGTATTTGCCAGGAGCCAGCTGTGGTTGTGGCCACAGCCAGGCTGGCTGGGAGCTGGGTCCCGCTGCATCCTGCAGACTCATCCTGCTGGGACCACGTGCCAAGGAAAAAGAGGGGCAGCACACACACACATCCGTCCACAGTCCCTGTCTTGCATCCTTCTGCGTAGTAGCATTACTGGAACTGTTTCAGGTCCACCATGTCTAAGCAGCAGCCCATCTTCTCTGCTCTGTGACACAGCCAGGTTTTTCAAAAAGGGAACCGAGGCAGAGACATCGCATCCCTTGGCCTCAGCAGAGCCTGTAGTGGGACAGAAATGTAGTCTGGAAGAGTAAGGCGCCTTCCTTTTGTCTCCCTGTGGAAGTAGTGGCTGTCTCTACGAGGAGAGGTTGAGGGAACTGGGCTTGTTCAGCCTGAAGAAGAGAAGGCTGAGAGGGGACCTTATAAATGCCTACAAATATCTGAAGGGTGGGTGTCAGGAGGATGGGGCCAAGCTCTTTTCAGTGGTGCCCAGTGACAGGACAAGGGGCAATGGGCACAAACTGAGGCACAGGAAGTTCCGTCTGAACATGAGGAGGAACTTCTTCCCTCTGAGGGTGACGGAGCACTGGAACAGGCTGCCCAGGGAGGTTGTGGAGTCTCCTTCTCTGGAGATATTCAAGACCCACCTGGACAAGATCCTGTGCAGCCTACTGTAGGTGACCCTGCTTCGGCAGGGGGGTTGGACTAGATGACCCACAGAGGTCCCTTCCAACCCCTACTATTCTGTGATTCTGTCTCACTGTCTAGGACAAAACCCCTTGCTTTGAAGTCCAGACTCAGCCCTGACAGTTCCTTGTATTATTTGTCTGCTCAGATCTCTGATGGCAAAGAAAATGCTTCTTAGCTGAGCAACCCCCACATGAAGGTGTCTACCTTTGCAGAGTGAGGGGCAGCTGCGGAGACTGAGCTGTTCCACGGAGGGTTCTCAGCCTGCTGGAGACAACAGCAACTTGTTGGAGTATCTATGGAGCAGGCACGAAACACCCCGTTCCTGGATGGAGGCGGAGGGAAGACAGCAACTCTCGACAAAGCTCGTTTGTGCCTCTACAAAAGGCTTTTAAAAAACAGTAGCGAGAGATGAAATAAGATAGCAGCGATAATAAAACCAGTCTGGGCCGTTCCAGAGTTGGAAAGGCCCAATTTCTGCCTGCCAAGGATCCCGTCTGTCCCTGCTATCCCAGGGCCAGAAGCAGGAAGGGTGGTGATGAGGGCTGCCTCCTCCAGGCAGAGAAGAGCGGACATGTGTGGCTTTATTAAGGCTAACTCAGGTGGTTTTACCCATGTCTGGTGTTCTGCTTAAAGCACCAGCCCCTGGATTCACGTGGGAACCTCACCTTCCATTAAAATCCCAGACTAGGAGCTTTTAGATGTGGTGGATGCACAGAATACTGCCCTCAGGCGCAGCAGAGCTTTTAGTACCTTTGTGGATCTTGCGATCTCCAAGACAACCTTGTGCTGCAAGGATAGGCAGGTGATTTCTCATTTTGGGATGCTATTTTATACCATCTGGATTCAGGATGCACTAGAAGCTGAAACAGCCACTTGAAACGAAACATCTGGGGGTCTGTGCGCCTGGTGCGGTGGAAGGACTGCTGGTGCTGCCCCTACTCGTACAGGAGAGAGGTGGGTGACTGGAAGAGAACTCCTACGAGGAGAGGCTGAGGGAGCTGGGCTTGTTCAGCCTGGAGAAGATAAGGCTGAGAGGGGACCTAATAAATGCTTATAAATATCTGCAGGGTGGGTGTCAGGAGGATGGGGCCAGACTCTGTTCAGTGGTGCCCAGTGACAGGACAAGGGGCAACGGGCACAAA